GTGTGTCTGTGTGTCTGTGTGTCTGTGTGTCTGTGTGTCGGTGTGTCTGTGTGTCTGTGTGTCTGTGTGTCTGTGTGTCTGTGTGTCTGTGTGTCTGTGTGTCTGTGTGTCTGTGTGTCTGTGTGTCTTTGTGTCTGTGTGTCTGTGTGTCTGTGTGTCTGTGTGTCTGTGTGTCTGTGTGTCTGTGTGTCTGTGTGTCTGTGTGTCTGTGTGTCTGTGTGTCTGTGTGTCTGTGTGTCTGTGTGTCTGTGTGTCTGTGTGTCTGTGTGTCTGTGGGTCTGTGTGTCTGTGTGTCTGTGTGTCTGTGTGTCTGTGTGTCTGTGTGTCTGTGTGTCTGTGTGTCTGTGTGTCTGTGTGTCTGTGTGTCTGTGTGTCTGGGTGTCGGTGTGTCTGTGTGTCCTGTGTTCTGTGTGTCGTGTGGGTCTGGTGTGTCTGTGTGTCTCTGTGTCTGTGTGTCTGTGTGTCTCTGTGTCTCTGTTTCTCTGTGTCTCTGTGTCTCTGTGTCTCTGTGTCTCTGTGTCTCTGTGTCTCTGTGTCTCTGTGTCTCTGTGTCTCTGTGTCTCTGTGTCTCTGTGTCTCTGTGTCTCTGTGTCTCTGTGTCTCTGTGTCTGTCTGTGTCTGTCTGTGTCTGTCTGTGTCTGTCTGTGTCTGTCTGTGTCTGTGTGTGTGTGTGTGTGTGTGTGTGTGTGTGTTTGTGTGTGTGTGTGTGTGTGTGTGTGTGTGTGTGGGTGTTTGTGTGTGTGTGTGTGTGTGTGTGGGTGTTTGTTGCGTGCGTTGCGTTTGCGTTTGCGTTTGCGTTTGCGTTTGTTTGTTTGTTTGTTTGTTGTGTTTGTGTTTGTGTTTGTGTTTGTGTTTGTGTTTGTGTTTGTGTTTGTGTTTGTGTTTGTGTTTGTGTTTGTGTTTGTGTTTGTGTTTGTGTTTGTGTTTGTGTTTGTGTTTGTGTTTGTGTTTGTGTTTGTGTTTGTGTTTGTGTTTGTGTTTGTGTTTCTGTTTCTGTTTGTGTTTGTGTGTGTGTGTGCGGGTGTGTGTGTGTGTGTGTAACCACTGTCCAGTGCATTTAGTTGGCTGCAAGGCTGTACTTTTAAAACCCCTGTGAAGCCAACACTCGGACATACCAGGCGAGCGCACGGGCAGTCGATCCATCAGGCGCAACCCCGCAAGAACCCCCGTTTATACATAAAATCCGACAAGCTCTAGAAACTTTGCCCTATAGAAACCCGAGTCCCGGCCCCGGTCACCAAGCGCAGGATCGCCGCCATGTCTTCGTCGCGGCCGAGCAAGGGGCAGCCACTTCCAAACGCTGCGGTTGTTTTGTTCTTTTTCAGGATTCAGTCTTGAGCTTTAGACCCGCACTGCATAGGCGAAAACACTACTCGGGTTTAGGGCTTCGACTCTCACACCTGCGAATGTGGGCGAGGATCTTGGTATATCTTGGTCAGTGGGTCCAGGCTACTGACACTAGACGGGTTTAGGGTTGAGGGTGCCCGCCTAGCTGATGCAGGGATTAATCAAATTACTTGGAAGAAAACCCAGCAGCCAGCTGAGGCACCCCTGCCACCACGACATCTTGGACAACGATGTTCCCCATACAGCTATGGCATTGGCATTTTTGCCACCCGCCAAGCAGGCCAGACACACAGGTATGGTTTCGGGTGCAGGGTGTTGGGTTTGGGGCTTGGGTTTCTCTAAATGCCGGGTCTCTGTGCATGTCCTGAAGCAATGATCACAAAGCAGAAGTCACATTCCAAGAAGCACCACAGCTGGCATGGAGTCCTCTGGAAGCGACTCGATGTCCTGAACAAGGGGAAGAAAAGTGGAGCCTGGGGGCTGCCGGATCAAAAAAACAAAAGGATCAAGAAAAATGAGGCCGCCCAGGATTTGGAAAAAAACAACCGAAAGAATCAAGGAAAAAATGTCGTCGCTTTGGACTTCGGGGTTCGCCTTCCGCAACTGTCGTCAGGCGGCGTGCGCATCGACGTCGCCATAACTCGTAACTGCCGTCGCTTTTGGATGTCTGGGTTCGCGAAATGAGGCTGTCCGCTTTTGGACGTCGGGGCCCCCAATTTGCACACAAGCAAACACAAACACACACACACACACACACACACACTATGCTCGCATGATGAGTTTGGAAAAGACTTATATTGCGTTGAAAGCAACCTCGCACAGCTGCTGTAAGCGGGCATGTTGGTGAGTTTGCAAACACGATGCTCGCATGATGTGTTTGGACAATTCAATTTTACTCAGTCTGGAAACACTTTCAACAAGTAACTCCTGAAACGAAATTATGACCTGAGATAATTTTCCTTGGCATTCTCTAACGAGAAGCAGCCACGCTGTTTCACCATGTACTGTACATACCAAAGAATGTGCTTAGAAAACACACAATCCAACTACCAGAATCCGGTAGTGAGAAAAGCACATTCTACATCAAAGGACAGACAACCAAATAGGGTTATGCATTGCCGAAACCTTGACAATGCCGTAAATTACTAGGTTTTCGTGGAAACAGTGCCGCTAGGAGAGCATAGAAGCGTAAATACAAGGTGTGGTCCTGCGGGGGGGGGGGGGGGGGGGGGGGACCATTTATATATGCATACATTCTTTCTTTCAAAAGAATTCTGTATTCATCTACTTTAGATAAAATACAAACTTGCAACACAAAAAATTGGCCGAACCATGCCGAACTGTTTATTGCGGCCGGGGCCTCTTCAGCAAGCAGGTCAAAGCGCGGACGGGCTGCTCGCGTTGTTGTGGCGACAGATTCCTGCCATCTGGACGCTTGCTGGTCTTCACATGACAGTGCGGCAGCAGAACAAACGTGCAAGCCTCAACCGGCATGCCCTCACCTCAGGTATACTTGACATCTCTCTACACAAAGTCGAGTTTACCCAGAGTTTACCAGTCTACTTACTTGTCTCATGCTACCAGAAGTCGTGCTGATGGGGGCCCAAGTTACAAGGCGTGCTGCAGCAGCAAGCAAACCTTGGATGGAGAAGGATTCTTGATCGGCGGAGCAGAAAGCGCTCTAACGACGAAGGCCATGGTTGTATGCATTGTCAGTTACTCCTGTGTCAGCTGCATCCATGCATTCATGACGGACCTTGCCGAATCTTGCGGACGGGCCGCGCCGCCATGACCACACAAGATCTAGTCAGGGGCCACCCGAGGGCTCCTGGCGACGCAAGCTTCCCAGCGCAAAGCCGTAAGACTTCTGCCGCACAAACTGCAAACCGCAAGCCATCATGCCTTTATGTTCTTTGCGACTTGCGCAGAGGCCATGTGGAGCCGGTGCGGCCAGCCAAGGCTGAAACAGAACACTCAAGAGCCAAGACGAACAGGGTGCAGAGTTTGACCCGAGAGCATACAGCAAACGCCATCTACTTAGAATCTACTTCCTTATACTTGCCGTGCACCGACTATCTCTTGCATTCTCTTGCAACTCAGTGCTGCAAACAATGCGGTTATTGTCGCTGAAAACATAGCTTGAGAGCCTGGCACGCGAATGCACGGCACCCTCATCGAGCAGCCCGAACGAACATCAAGAGTCATGCCCAGCAACTTGCATGTCTTTCGATTCTGTCTGGAATGCTAACTTCAAAGGAGAGTGGCTCAAACGACCTTGAGTCGTGGCCGAAGCAGGCATAAACAGCTTGAATTCATGCATTACATTTCACACAAACAACACAGGATAAACGCTCTTCAAAAAACGCCGGCTCTGTACACGCAAGGACCTGAATTCCAGCCAGCTCAAAACTGGCATCTGCTGAAAGAAGCCATAACCTTGTGTCAGCATTCCGACTCAATTTTCGCTGATCCGCTACTACCGGATACTATCGCGACAATCCCAATGCCATCAAGCGCAGGGGATGCTCGGTAAATTTTGAGAAGCCGACGGTCGAAAAGACCGGGGCACTGACCTATAACAGCTGCGTCGCACGTGGCGGGCGTTGGACGCCCTGGGCACCACGCCCACCACGACCAGGCGCGGGCTCACCGCGGCCTGGCGAATGAGAGTGGGGTGCCAGTTCCTGCTACTGACCTTTTTCAACACACGTGCCAGAACACATGCGGAATTACACCAAGACTGTGAAAGCCGCGGCGCCAGCCTTTGCGGAGTTGACTCCGTTCTGCTTTGAGGTCGCTCACAGAGGCCCCAGGGAGCAACGGTTGTGTGCCATGCTCCTGCATCAACACTAGCTTGGCTTGAAGATAAGAACGTTCCCGCGCATCTTTTTCCCATTTTGATTCGTGTGCCAAACTTCTTCGTAGTGGCAAGAGCATCTTCTGGCGTGCATGCGGATTCTTGTGATCTCCACATGCCGTCCTGGTTGCGGCTCAGCTCTCGCAGCTGGGCTGCCGTCTGCATCCACTCAACTTGACCCTGAGATCTCTGCATGGCCTCGGCTGAAGAGCCGCTCCACAAGTCAAGAACCTCTCGTCCGAAGTACAGACTGCTCCTGAAGCCACCGTCACACAATAGCACTGCGAGCCCTAGGAAACAACAGTGACTTCTTCTGGCTACGAAGGAGAGTAATGGCTTCGCTGCCTCCCACCTGAACCGTCCAGCAGGTATCGTAGTTGCACATGCCATTGTTGCTTCGCTTTGTGGGCCCAACGCACGGTAGGGGGGAAGGGGGGAGGCTATTCGAGCAATGCTTGGGCGCAACTTCAGGACTGCCAGAACTGAGCATCAAGGGATCGTTGCGAAGCCCAGCCCGTTGATGCCCGAGCCGTGTAACATTTCAATCTCTTCCCATACTTGGTCGCATGTGTTGAAGGTAACCGTTGCCACAGAGTTGCTTTGAAAAAACACGAGGGTTTACCTCAAGCAGTTTCAAGCTTCCAGGCTGACCTCTCGGTTTCAACATGCTTCAAAATAATCTTCGAACCGGGACATGACCGACAACAAAGTTGCATGTGACAAACATGAGCCCCACGAAGTTGACTTGAAGGTTGAGACGTGCCATCATTAAGCCCTGAAAGGCCATAGCTTTTTTCTTGAAGTGCTGGAACGTTGTCGATGTTCGAGCTGCTCGGGTTTCGTGAGCTTCGAACCTGGCGATGGCTTCGAAATCGTGACACAAAACACAACTTGAAAATACCCGAGGCCCTGCCCCGAAAATTCCCACAGTTGCAAGCCCTCAAAACCCAGTGACCTGGCCTAGTGGCACAGCTTTCTGAATTGCATAATCATGCATGGCTGAGTGCCACGCATTCTGCGCCGCACGCTGGGCCAGCCGGGGAGCTGCTCGCGCCCCGCGGGCCGCGCTTCTCGCCGCCTGTGCCGGCAACTGCGGTCCTGCCGGCGCCTCCCGCTGAAAGGACCTCTCACGATTTTCACGCTGCGCCCTGGGCCCATTGCCAGGTGGGGAAATTATGGGCCGGATGACGCTGCGTGCTGGGATCTCCTGTGCGACCTGAACGGCTGGAACAGCGCTTGGCAGGAGCGTCACATCCATGGGCTGGATGGGCTGGTCACTTCGGGAGTTCGCTGCCGAGCTGGCCTTCACCACAATGCGGGTTGGGATTGGGGTGCGAGCGTCCTGCGCTGGCTTCTCGGGTTTCTGCTTGCCTCTGCCTAAGTCCACCTGCACCCCAGCAGGCTCGGGGGATCCCTGCACAGCACTGCCCTGGATCTGCACGACCTCTCCGACCTCTTTCTGCCTGAGCCGCAGACAGCACTGCTACAATGTCTGGATGTAAGACTCAGATCTGCAACCAAGAGGCCGAACTTGCACGACATTGTGTGGCCGATGCTGAGGACTGGCCTGCACAAATGTCCACTGCAGAGCGAAAGCACATCAAGCGCTCTCCACACAAGATTTTCCAGTCCCACTCGAAGAAGGTCCCCTTCAAGAGAAGGCCCAGAGCACCCCAAGAGCTCACCCAGAACACACTTCGCTGGAAGGCCCTGGTGTTGATGTTTCCACTCTGCCAAAAGACAAGCACACCTTCACTTTGAACTTTCGCTTCTTCCTGAGCTGGCGCAACACCATTCTGCCAGTCAGGAGATCCGAGATTTGACTTTGCACATCTTTGCACCCCATGAAGGCAAGCGTCCGAATAGCTGATGGGCGCTCCTCTGCTGATGATGCACCTGATAAGCCCTCGGGCTGTGCATCCTCACCAGGGCCCTGTACAGCGTCTGCACGGCGCCTGGGCAACACTCGCTGATCTCGTCCGCAACGGCGGAATGTCCCTAAACCTCCCATTGGGAACACGGCAACTTCCGGCTAATCCTCTGCAGCGCTCGTCGAGCTCTTCGCCGACACCTCCTCCAAGCACGCGCCTCGCTGACACCAATGATCCGCCACATGTGCCACGAAATTCAGCAATCAGCCGACCCCAGGCAGTGGCTGGAAGCCATTCCCACTTGCAGCAAGCCACGAGCATGGGGAGGATTGCGTACACAAAAAATTCGATGCCCCTGCACAGGCAAAAGGCAGCACAGGGCGGTCCAGCATAGTCATGCGCATGAAGTCAAGCATGGGTCCTGACCAGGAAGTCGATGAGGTGCGGAAACAACCGCACCAAGCCGGCCACACCCAAGCAGATCCTTGGTAACATGTGTCTCTCCAATGGCAGAGCCATCATGAGTATGCCAGAATGTCTTGAGTGGCACATGCACGGACAGAGGTACACAAATCATTCCAAATCCATGCAGATGCGCGCTGGGCAAACATAACTCCTGCTCCCCATTTCATCACCTTCCAAACCCCAAAAGAACCGGAATACAGCCCGGCTTTGAGCCAGCCGCTGGACAAGAACCTGGAACCCTAAGCCATCTTGTTCCCAATTCAGCCTGGGCACAGTGAGGCCCCAAAGACTTCTAGGCTGGGGGGCTCCTCCCAAACCGTCAGCTCCTGAATGTTTGAGTGCCCGGTGTAGCGCATCGGAGGGCATAGTCTCATTTTTGCAACACATCGCCACCAGGCAAGTCTTCTACTACTGCAACGATGGCCTATGGCTACGACTACGCCGATGCCTACAACATGCCGACAACTGCGCTGCCCCTATGCCGTACACCTATTCCGACTCCCCCTGCTCTCCTTCTGGCCACTACTTGTTTTACTATTTGTTCGTCATTTTTGTTCACATTCACGTGCCTTTGGCTCATTTGCCTCTTGGAAGTTGACTGGTTTCACGCCTGGAGGTCGGTCTGCTCGCATGTTTTGTTGAGGAGATGTTTTGAGGTTTGCCTCCAAAGTTGTGTCTTGCTACTGTCACTGTTGTTGATCTTGCTATTGCTGCTATTGCTGTTAGTAGCTTTAGTGCGCTTTGTGTTTGTTAGCGATAGTAGTGATGGTATTTCTGTTAATGGCCAGTATGGTTCTGGTTGTTCACGTTTGGTGTTGTTGTTGTTGGGGTTAGTGATACTTCTATTGTTGCGATCAACATTGGAGATCTGCTGCTTTCTCTTCTTGCTGTTATTGCTATTGTTACTATTGCAGTTCTTGTCGCTTATTAATACTGTTATGGGTTGTCATTGATGTGATGAACCAGCACTGATGTATTGCATGCTCGCCAACGTGGGGGTGTGGACCTGGTTCCGGGAAGTGCTCCATCTGTTGCCTACAGAGTCGCACACCGCGATCCTTGAGAGCATATGACGATGCGCAGGATGTTGAATGACCTCCGCAGAGAGCGGCTTTTGCTCCTCGTGCCTCCCCAGCTTCGGCGCCATTCTGCCAGGAAGATGGCTTCATATGGCTTCACATGCGGGTTTCATGAGTCAAACTGGGAGGCATCTCTTGGATTTGTTTCATCGGCTTCCCGTGGAAGATAGTGACCCCTCGAAGTGGAAGGCCGCCAAGTACGTGGACCAGTGTCTGGAGAAACCCAAGAGCTCCCCAACGCATTCTCACTGGAGTTAGGCACCAAAGCCAAAGCTCACAAGTTTTCCAAGAAGATGAGCGCAGACAAGGCTCTGAAGTCTTTGCGGAAGCTTGTGCTCCAAATTTGCATGCTCGCTCCCAGAAAGGTGAGGCCCTCAACTATGTGATGACCAAACTTCGAGGCCTCTGCACCGCGCAAGATCGATCACGATCGGCTCTCTACAAGCAGCTCCGAGGGGCAGGCGGGTAAGCCAGAAGGATGACTGAAAGGCCGATCTGCGTCTCACCGCTGCTCTTTGTGGGCAGCGTTTTCCGGGATAGCAACATGCAGCTAAGTCTGCATGGGGGCTCAGCCCGGGAGCTTGGGCGTTCTGTTCGGCGGCGTGACCTTCGTTTTCCGATTTCAATCGTTAGTTTTTTCCACCGTGGGTTAGATCTTGAGCGCGCGAGTTGTGGTGCCGCGAGCTTTGCGCCGGCTCATCTCTTCGTGGCGTTGGAGCACCCATCTTGCGTCATGCGACATGTTTTGTCACCTGGCCTTCAACTCCGAAAGTCAACGACCTTCTTTCCAATTCGCAAGAATTTGAATGACTTGCGTGATGGCCAGCTAGTCTCGAGGTGCCCCCCGCCTGGGATGATCTTGCTTCTGCTGCGTGAGGGCTTCCGCAAACTACGTACGTAGGCACTGCCGCATTGCCCAGGGTGACCCCTGCACCGATGTTGAGTGTACTGCACAACCGTAGTCACTCTGCTCTTCAAGGTGGCGCAGGATGCTGGTGTGCAGATGGCCGCTGTGCCACATTTGAGGGAGGATGAGCGATAGATATCTTGGGCGTTTGATTATCCAGCTCCATGTGGTTTGCTTCGCTGCATCGTTTCAAGAGCACTGGATGTTGGACCAATTCCCGCATCACCTGTGGTCGGACTTCATGTCGATACAGGGGGTTGTTAACATGGTCCATGATTATATTGTACAGTCCAGACAGCTGGGGTATGATTCCGGGTACACTGTCGAGGGTAATATGGCTGACTGTGTTTGGCACCTGCCCTGTCCAGACGGCGCCTTCATGTGGGCAGCCCTTTCCGCGTGGCAGCGGGATCGGAAGGTGTCAGCATCCCTGAAAAAAGCTCTGACGGCGAAGGGTGCTCGGGCGTGAGTACAGATCCCGGATGGATCTACTGTTCATTTAATTCCTTCTGGGCTGTTGCGCAGCATTTTTCATTCTTGCAGAGGGTTTGCTGAGCCTTGCTTAAGCGAGGCCGTGTGGAGAACTTGTTTGCATCCTGCTGGTGAGGAGTATGAACCACCCACGGTCAAGTATGCAATTGAACGATGACGACGATGACGACGATGACGACGATGACGACGATGACTGCACAAACATCTGCTGCGAGTCGTGATGATGGTACGCCCATGTGACTAATTGATCTCCCCTGAGATGTTACAGAGTCCAGGCGGCAGTACATGATGCCGACTGTTCTGGTTGGCATGTCAACTCAAAAAATAGGGTGTGGTAGATGAAGACTGCACCCAACATACCCAGCCAGCAACTGCAGGCAAAGGGTTCGTCGGAGATCTCGCCAGCAAGTCCCATTTCTTGCTGGATATTGTAAAGAATGCTAGCAATTCTGTTCACATAAGATACTGGAGCCTATGCATGCAGTTTTGGAACTATGACAGCTTATTGCTATGATTGCTATGATTGCTATGATTGCTATGATTGCTATGATTGCTATGATTGCTATGATTGCTATGATTGCTATGATTGCTATGATTGCTATGGTTGCTATGATTGCTATGATTGCTATGATTGCTGCGATTGCTATGATTGCTATGATTGCTATGATTGCTATGACTGCTATGATTGCTATGATTGCTATGATTGCTATGATTCCTATGATTGCTATGATTGCTATGATTGCTATGATTGCTATGATTGCTAGTATTGCTAGATTGCTAGTGTTGCTAGTATTGCTATGTTGCTTCGCTAATGTTCTGACTGAGATTAATGTTCTTATTGCTAATCGCAATCGTTGCTATCATTGCTATTATGGCTACTACTGCTATTATTGTTCCCAATGATATTATCGCGATAATTGCTATTATCGTCATTATTGCTATTATTGCTATGATTGCTATTATTGCTATCATTGCTATTATTGCTAGTATTGCTATTATTGCTATTATTCTTATTATTGCTATTATTGCTATTGTTGCTGTTATTGCTGTTATTGCCAGTATTGTTATTGCTGCTATTCATGCTGTTACTGCCATCGCAATTATTGTCATTGTTGCGAGTACTGCTATGATTGCGAAGTATGTTCTAGTTGTTCTTCGTATCATTCTCGTTCTTGTTGCTATTCTTGTTGTTGTTGCTGTTATTCTGGTTGATATTGTGATTACAGTCGGTATTGCTGCTGCATGATTGTTGTTTCTGCTGCCATTATTGCCATTATTGCTAGTATTGCTATTATTGCTATTATTGCTATTATTGCTATTATTGCTATTATTGCTATGATTGCAATTATTGCTATGATTGCCATTATTGCTATTATTGCTACTACTATTCTTGCTAATATTGCTATTGATGTTCGTGTTGTTCATCTTGTTTTCCTATTATATCGTTATTCCTGTTCTTGTGCTTCGCGTTAGATTGTCTACTACGGTTGCTGTGGTTGCCGTTGTTGCGCTTGTCGTAATATGCCATTATTGTATGTTGACGCTTCTTGCATTGCTACTCGCGTTGAACTTGCGAATACTGTTCCTTAGTGTTGTTGGTATTTCTAGTGTTCTTCATGTTGTTACTATTGCTGTTTTCACTTGATTTCTTGTTCTTATCCTCCGCAGTAAAAAGCTTCGTCTCCAAACGCAAACAGAGAGCACTTGAAAAAATCGAGAGATATCGCCATAACAAACAGGCATGGCCCCACGATAGTTGTTGTAGTTGTTGTAGTTGTTATAGTTGTTATAGTTGTTATAGTTGTTATAGTTGTTATAGTTGTTATAATTGTTATCGTTGTTATAGTTGTTATAGTTTTTATAGTTGTTATATAGTTGTTATAGTTGTTATAGTTGTTATAGTTGTTATAGTTGTTATAGTTGTTATAGTTGTTATAGTTGTTATAGTGTTGTTATCGTCGTTATCATTGCTATAGTTGCTATAGTTGATATAGTTGATATTGTTGTCATTGCTGTTATTGCTGTTACTGCTGTTACTGCTGTTATTGTTGTCATTGTTGTCATTGCTGTTATTGTTGTTAGTGTTGTTATTGTTGTTATTGTTGTTATTGTTGTTCTTGTTGTTCTTGTTGTTATTGTTGTTACTGTTGTTATTGTTGTTATTGTTGTATTGTTGTTATTGTCATTGTTGCTATTGTTGTTCATGTTGTTATTGTTGTTATTGTTGTTATTGTTGTTATTGTTGTTATTGTTGTTATTGTTGTTATTGTTGTTATTGTTGTTATTGTTGTTATTGTTGTTATTGTTGTTATTGTTGTTATTGTTGTTATTGTTGTTATTGTTGTTATTGTTGACATTGCTGTTATTGCTGCTCTGGCTGTTCTTGCTGTTCTTGCTGTTCTTGCTGTTCTTGCTGTTCTTGCTGTTCTTGCTGTTCTTGTTGTGGGTGTCCTTCACCTTCTGCTCTCCGGATACAGTCTCCAATATGGCCTAGCCAAGGCTGGGCCGATTTGGGCTGAGTCTCTCAGGGCCGTGCAAGCCAAAGTCAGCCCTAGCCCTAGCCGAGGCTGCAACCCCACAGCTCCAAGGAGATGTTGGACCTTCCAGGACAAGAACCGCCTCTGGGAGCTGCGCCGCGAAGCGTGCGAAGCGTTGCAGTAGGGGGCCGGCATTCCAAAACAGGCGGCCGCCTCTCTTCAGCTCCGAAGTTGTCGCAAAACACCTGCCTTTGTCCACTGATAACGCAGATCACACACAGCGACACTAAAGCACAGTCCACACGACGAACTTGCGCCAGGGACAACAACTGCCTTCATAAAAATTGTCGCACGACGGCCTACCCTCCTAGCTGTCGCAGCTTCTGTTTGCTTCCAAGAATCCACTTGGCCTCGACTTCTGCTGCCATACAGTTTCAAAGAATACAGTTGGCATGTCACGCGCCCAACAAGCTTCAAGTTTCTAGCTGCCAAGCTTCATCATAAAAGTCGCAGCAAGAGCTGCCAGCCCCTGACAAGTTGGCATCTCCACGCACATAACTCCCGGCGTTGTTGCAACCTGAGCGTATTCAGAGCGACCTGCGTGGCAGCTGTTGAGCTGTACACAGCTGAGGGCGCAACATTTGAAGGGCCCTTGCGAACTATACCACACCATACTATCATCCCAAGCCTTGCGAGAAGACATGTACACCATGCGAAAACTGTCCGACTCTGGCTTGCTGGACCAAAACTAGCCAAGGAGAGACGAGTTTGAGGCGCCTCAACTGGCAGCTGCCATTCTGGTAGCAAGGTTGCTGTCTCTCCTTCGAGAAGAAGCAGGCTGGTTCAGGCGCAATCAGCACCATCCACTCTTCACTCCAGCTGTCCTATCTGCACGACCACTTGCAAATAACAGCTGTTCCTCGGATGCAGGTGATATCTACTTTGGTCACAAGGCAGCTACGGAACCAATGAGGCAAATACAGGCAAAATGGAAGCCGTTGTGAACATCACCCGAAACGGCCGCATTTGCGGTTAGATGCGCACGCACGCAGTAAACCCGAAGCCTTGGGCCTTGGGCAGTCTTCCGAGACTCTCCTGGTTGCATGTCGCATTGGTGAAGTCGTGGATGGCACAAATAGCACGGGAATATCGAAAAGTCGTGAGGAAAAGGGCAAATGCTGTAACCACCTTGGGTAGGAACGACATTGCTCAGTGCGGCGGCTGTGTCGCTGTCTAGCAGCTGTGCTTTTCTTGGGTTCCAGGCCAGAACAGCCGATGCGCCTCAGATGGCGTACAGCAACGCGGCATAACGCGGCAAAACATCAAAAACCCACTGCCTCTGCATTTAACATGCAACAGAAGGGCACAGCGGGATGCGCATCAACGACTTCCAAATGACGTCTCGACGTACGTTCGACCTCAACGGAATATCCCTTGGCAATAATATGTTTCATGCAACACTGACTGGGTTGCATGCGTAACCGCCCGTTCTGCTCGGTCTTGAAGAAACCTGAGCCATGGCACCGAACCCCATGGCAAGTAGAAGTCAATTTGGTCCTCTGGCCATCCTGCGTGATCCGATCTGGGGTTCTTGCAACTCTTGAATTTCGGCAATGGTTTCCACCGGAACCATGCGATCACGCATATTGATGTCCTCAATCCACAAACGAGCGTGATGCTGTGCAGTGTGGAGCGGGCGAAGGATGCTAGCCGCAGTCGAGAGTCCAAGCTGTCAAATTCACGTGCCAGCGCTGTCATGATTTCCTGGCTTTTGGTGACATTGCATTGAACATGTGCCCGACTATGCTGCTCGAATCAACAAGTAAAGCTTCAATGATGCCGCTCTTTGACTCAACAGCGCTTGGTCGGATAATTGGAAAATGCCACATGCCCAACCTACGTTCCCATGACAAACACATGCCCCGAGTGCTGGAGGCAGCTCCGGTGTGTCCCCGAGCAAAGCGGCATGACACAAGCTACCACACAGGACAAAACAACAAGGATGATGCCGTCACCGTTGGCATCTTCACGGCCACATGAATTGACACTATTGTTTTTGTGGGGGCCCACGAGCTTGCCTCGTCGGTCACCTTTGTCGTGGAATCCAGCTGGAGAGAATGCAGGCAAGCAGTATTGCCGCGGATGAGCTTGGTGATTTGATCTCTGGCGCCTTGTGCCCCATCATCAATCGCTTCAGCACACACCATATCAAACAACAAAATGCCATGAAACCTTGCAAAAAATGCGACAAGGGCTCTCAACTTTGTTTGCTTGCTTGCTTCCGCAACATCGCTGGCCGCCAGCGATAGGCTCATCGGCTTTGCGCCCTGCGTCATAATATAGAATACGCAGCCGCATTTCCCAACAATGACAACACACAACCCGAAACTCCAATTTGCCACGCAACATCGCTGTCGCCAGTCTCTTTTAAGTAGGTTGCACCCTGTTCAATGTCTATTCTGACGGCTGTTAGCATTGTATCGTTCATCAACCCCTTGCATAAATAGACCACGAGCTGCAGACTGCTGCGCATTGCTGCGCTGAAGAAACGAGCCTCTCTGGCCACGGGCCATGGCTTCTGCCCAGCAGCACCATTCGCAGCGATAGCATGGCGGAACTTGTGAGCAGGGCCATTGTGTTAATTCGAGGCACGTTCACTCGCTATCTATATCTCGCTGTCATGACAAACAATGCCTCATTTAGTATGAATGAAGCTAGGAAATAGTGAAATACGGAAGTGACATTCCTCGCCTGTCGACAATAATTTTTTTATGACTGTCAGCAAAGTCAATCCGGGGCAACGCACAGCGGATTAAAAAACGTTTGAGCGATTGTCAAAACTCTCGTCGTCGGGCCTAGGTCGCACCTTAGGGGGCAGTCATTTTTTTGGCGTTACCCGTCGCTTTGAACAGGTTGTTGTTGATGGTTTTGCTGCGGCGTTCAAACAGGCGCCAACTGCCACCCGTCGTGCCATACATGGGCTTGAGTTACTGACAGATAGAAGTCGTAAATGACCACCAAAAGCATCCGACTTCCGGTGTTCCCATCGCTTCACCGGGCTATTTGTAACCTTCAGCATGCTTGAAGTTCCTATTCCCATAGTGTAAAGCAAATCTCCCTTCAAAATTACTCCAGCGAAGGCCCCAGACAGTTAAAAATTGAATGGCGTGTTCACAGCAAAGCCGGAAAGAAAACTCGCACCAACCCTCGTGCTGTGCGCACGCTTCCGTTGTTAGTACTCTTGTGTTCTTGGACGACCGCGCAACACAACCTTTGTTGGTTGACGTTTGTGTTTTTTGCCTTATTGGGAAACACGTACGGTCACCTGGTTTCCTTGTTTCTTTGGATTGGTCAGATGCCTTCGATGGTTCCTACCTTGCTTAATGAACGCCGTGCACGGTGCTATATGCTGTGAGTTGTTATTCAGTGAGCTGCTGACGGTTAATCCAAATGCGGCCATTTTGGCTCAAGGGAAGTGGCTTACTAAGTGACTTAGGTGGCACTTAGCTTGTCCGCAGCATTAGCTTATAAATTATAAGCGGACTTACGGACTTATGCAACTGGAGTTACAACTCCGAGCTAAGTCCCCCACCCGGGGGATGTTTCAAGCAAGACTCAAGCCCAAAATGACACGGCCACGACACGGCCACGACATGCCTGCGACACGGCCCCCATGCCCACGACACGCCCACGACATGCTCACGACATGCCCACGACACGCCCACGACACGCCAAGGTCGAGAGACCCGACAAACAGAAAGGATCACCCATTGAATATAGAAAGTCTGCCGCGAACCAGCTAGCTAGGACTTAGCTAAGTCCACTTATATGGTACCACAGACGACATTCCACGTTCCCACGAGCAGGACTTATATATGACTTAGCAACAACATATATTCTGGTTTATAACCCAAACGCAAGTGGCATTATAACTTTGCTATATTGCTCATAAACGCTTATAAACACCATGGTCAGTTATGTTGAATTATAAGCCAGCTTGCCTGAGTTGTAAGACTGGAAGTCCTACTCGTAACTGTATATATATATATACCACTCAACCGCGCACCGCCAAGATAGTCCAGCAAAACAAGACAAATGCAGCCTTTATTCTCTCGCGAGGGGGCATGAGTGTTCCATCTGCAAACGTACCTTATTCTGAAGCGCATCGTTTCTTAGTTTAAGTGTCTTGTCTTAAGCTCTGTCCCCTCGAACGACAAGACTAACAAATGCAACATTTTTTTTCCCGCGGACTTTTATGCCTGCTGATCCGTTTGGTCGGCTAAGCGGCTCCAAAACTACCCGGGCAAGCTACGCCACGCTCGCAGCAGCAGCCGGCGGGCTTCAGCGCAGCGGCAGGCGACTCGGTCCGTCCGGGTCACCAAGAGCCAGGACGGCAGCCACGGTCGGCAGGCTGTCTTGCGCCGGCCCCACTACCGCCCTTGCCCTCCCCAGCGCCGTTGAGCCGACCGCCTGCTGGCATGCGACGGACAGGGCGCTCCACCACCTGCGTGCCCAGGCGACACCGGCAACCGCGCGCAGAGGTGCCGGGGCGCGGCAGGCCCGCAAGCGGACCAGGCGTCGCACCACTGACGCAGCCTCGGCGTTCCAGCGCCCCCGACCTCACAACCAAGCACGCAGAGCTGTTGCGCCCCCCCCTGTGCCAGCTCGGGGTAGGTGGCCCGCTTACGCCGCTCGGCCGTGCGCAGCACGGCCCGTCACGGCCTGCGGCTCCGCAGTGGGGCGTGCCGTCCCTCGCCAGCGGCGAGACGAGTGTGGCGTCGTCGCAGCATAGCGCCCCTCCCAACGGGGTCGCCCCGTAGATGACGAGGTCCAGGCGGCGACGGTCCCCCCCAAGTACTCCAGGCGCGGTGGTATGGGCCAGCCATTGCTGCGGCACCACTTGGCCCTACAGCCTCGCGCAGGCGCGCTCGACGACTTTGGCACGGCGCGCAAGCAGGCCCGTGCGGGGGCAAGCCAAGGCATGGTCGCCGTGCCTTGGAAAAGGCGGCCACACCCCGGGGTGGACTGCCCGCCATCCCCACCGCAACGCCCTGCGGCCAGCGGAAGCGGCAGGCGGAGGCGTCGCCTCAGTGCGATCTGCATCATCTCCGGGGAGAGCGTCGTGTGGGGGTCACTTGGGATGGCCGTAAGCCACGCGCCGGCGTGGGGCCCAGCCTGTGAACGCACAAGAGCGCGATGAGCGGGCGACAAGGAAGGCAGCAACACGCGGTCGCGGAAGAAACGGTTCCGAGTACGCGACGCGTGAAACTGCCATCCATGCACCCGCCCGCCAGGCTCAGTGGCGTCGGGCTCGGGTCCCGGCGGTCTCGCCCCCCTAGCAACCCGCGACCAGGTCGGCACATCGACCCAGCCTTCGTTGAGGAGTAGCTGCCGACCAGCCTCGGCAGCTCGCTGGCACGCTGGGCCAGTACCATCCTGGAGAGCCGCGACCGCCCATGCGGCAAACCTGGGGCAGCGGGCCTCAAAGACGGCGAGCGAGTCAGCCCACGCAGCCCAGTAAGCTGCGGGGGCTGCGCGTGTTGCCTGAGTGAGACCCAGACCTCCTAAGCTCGCGGGCAACAGCGCGATGGCGCGTGCCGGGCACTCCGCGTCCTCGGCTGGCTCACCAGCACAAGCTTGCAACGTGCCCCACACAGCCGCATCGTGCGCCGCAGCGTACGGCCTGATCAACTCGGGCGGCACAGTTCGCAGGGCGTGGTTGGCGCGCGGCGAGGCGCAGTACGCCAGGAGCAACCACGCGCACTGCAGGTCGGGCAGTAGGGGGAGCTGCCGCAGGAGCTCGTCTTCCTTCGCCACGCGATCCCGCCCCCACGCCTCTATGAACTGGGGTGTCCCCACGGGGCAGCCCAATGCGACTATGCCGCGTTCGAGCAACGGCTTGTCCCCGCGCCACACATCGTCGCCGAGGTCGCGAACCCCCGGCGGCGCTGGTCCCCCGGAGAAGTTGAACACGCGAGTCTTGCCCAGGTTGGCCGCGATCCCGGTGTGGGCCTCCACAGACGCCGTTGCTGTATCGAAGGCTGCACGGGACCGTGTTGGGCACGGGAGTACGAGGTAGAGGTCATCCAAAAACGCGAGGAGTTCCTCACCATCCTGAAGCCTCTCAGCCGCGTGCTGCAGCCCCGCATGTTGTCCCAAGGCGAAGAGCGCGGGGTGCTCGCATCCCTCGCCCTGGAAGATGCTATGGCGCTCGCCGCTCTCGTCCCACCAAAGGTACTCCGAGGCCTGACCGTAAAAAAGCCGGGCGAAGGGGACGAGGGCGGGCGCCACTTCATGGAGCTTGTGCAAAAAAGCAGCACGGGAAATGCAGTCGTATGCGCTGCGACCGTCTAGCGAGACGACGGTGGTCTGAGGGTCGCGTTCGAGAGCGGCCCGCAGCTTCGCTGTAAGAGCGTCGTCCATGCCCGCGCGAGTGCTTAAGGCATGTTGGAATGGTCGGGTCGCCTCATCGAATGTGGCAGCGTGGGAGGCGGCCAACGTGCGGGAAACAAGCCGCCGGAACGTGTCGCCAGTGGCGATGCCACGGACCCCGCCTCCAGGCTTCTGGATGGCAGTCATACGTGCAAGCGCAATGCCGGCAGCGACTTCCTGGGGCACGTCAGCACGGGCGAGGAGGGTGGCAGCCTCGGCCAGCAGTTCCAGAGCATCGGCCTGATCTAGCAGGACTTTGTAGTGTTCGGCCCGCGCTCCCGACAAGCCCGGCGCGCTGCCGCGCTTGCAAGCACGCAAGCTGCGCGCGCGTCGGTGGGCCGCAGCAGCCTTTGCATCGGCGATGTTGCTCGCTCCGCGGGCGGGCCGATGCTGAGCGCGCGCGCGTTCCAACAGGGCGGGCCATTCGGCTCGCTCGTACGCACCAACGCGGGCCAATAGCTCGCGACTGCCTGCAGCACCGGTCTCTGCCGTCCGCGCGAGGAGCATGCGAGGCGTAAGGAGGAAAAGTTTCCAAGCTCGTGCGCGTACAGCCTCCTCTGCCGGCCCGGCAGAAGCCGCCCGCAGCGCGGTCAGGGCGAACTCCAAGGCGCGACGCAACCCGCCGCGCAAGAAGACCGGGACGTCTTGTAGGGTCGGCACGGGGCCACGAAGTTCTGCGAGAAGATCCACGGCATCAAGCGCTTCAAGGGTTGGAGGCGAGGCGGGCCTGCGCGCAGGCTGGGCGAGGCAGGCAGCGGTTGGAGCAGCGGAAGCAGCGTCGCTCGAGTCGCCACCCCCCCGCCTCGCAGACGACTCCACCGGGGTCCGATTACGTCGACCTCGGCGCGGTCGCCCGGTACGTGTGGGAGATGCTGCTGCGTGTGCGGGAGGTGGCTCGCCAGCACGCAAGGCATCGGCAAGCATTGCCGCCTCCGCAGCCACCGCAGGCCCCCCGTATGCTTCGAGCAAGGCCGCCTGGGCCACAGCGGGCGGCGGGCGCATAGCCGTGGGCGTCGCAAGCGCAAGCGAAAGCCGTCGGGAGAGACACGAGCCGGTCAGCATGCGCGTCGAGGCGGCGACACAAAGCCTCAGCTTCGACCACTGCCGCCTCGGCGTCGTCGTCGAGCACTGCCACCGCTCTGCACAGCGCGACTAGTTGGGCCGCAGGCACAGGCTCAGCTCGGGCGAGTGTATGCACCAGTGCTTGCCACCGCACGCCGCACACGGGATGGGCCACCCACTGGCCGGAGGCCGCAGGGGCGAGTGTGGCCGAGGCCGCGTGGAGCAATGGCACGTAGAGCCACGAGTTGCGGGCAGGGAGATCCCTTGTGCAGGGCGGGCCGCAGCCGCTCCACTCGCCGAGCACAAGGCCCGCCATCTGCTCTGGTGGCGCTGGCACTTCAGTCGGCGTGAAACCCGGCGTCACCTCCCCCGGCAACGTCGGGGCCACCTCACCGGCGTGTGCGAAAGGCTCAGCGTCCCGGGGCGAGGCGAAAGGCGTGTTGGCGCTGAGCGTGTCGGAAAGTGTTTCGGCCTCGCTGGCAGCGCGCCCGTCTGGCGGAAGAAGCCGCATCTGACCCAACGCGTGCAAAGCTCGCTCACGGCGGGCTGCAACATCGCTCGCTTGTGGCGGGCCGGGGTTGTCAGCAACATTTTGAGGGGGGCATGAGTATCACATCTGCAGATGTATCTTATTCTGAAGAACATCTTTTTTGAATCTGGTGTTGCGCCCCATAGGCCATAAGCAACGGAAAATTTTCCACATCGTGAAGAAGTAAATGTTGCATTGCAAGTTTTAATTTGTAGTTTAGGTGTCTCATCTGAAACTACACCACAACAAAACAACAACAACACAAAAGTGCCTATTTTTTTCCCCACGCAAACTCGTCCCGATTAGTTAGGTCCACTACATCACTACGTGCCAGCGCGTCACGGCTGCAAAGGCAGTCGGCTGGGCGCGGCCGCCTCAGCGAGGTCAAGGACATCGCCCAGCGGCACGTCGTCCGGCGCGCCGGGGGATGGTGGCATGGTCCAAACCCGGAGCACGGAACTTGCCACGGCACGCTGCAGAGCGACCGACGCGCCCATCCCTGCGTCGCCGACGCCCTCAACGGGGCTGGCGCGCGCCGGGCCCTGAAGCGCAGGAGCTGACGGAGGAACTGATGGCACTCATCACTCCACCGACCGCCAATTTCCGCAGCCAGGACGACCAGTTTCTGTGGGCCCCCCGTGTGAGCTCGGGATCGCGCGCGGCCTTGCGCCGACGTGCTGCAGCGAGCGCAACCCCATCGCGGGCATCTGCGCCGGGGACAAGGTGACCGGCGCGGGTCAAGGGAGAGACGAGCGTCGCGTCTGCGCACAGCGCCTCTCCATTCCTCGTCGCTCCGTAGACCACAAAGTCGAAGCGACGGCGGTCATCCGGCGACACTTGTGGGGCAGTGGTGCGGGCAAGCCACTGCTGTGGCATGTGGCACCACGCGTCCTTCGGACCCCACCGCTTCCCGCACGACCTGCACCCACGCGTGCTCAAGGACGAAGCCGCGGCGAGGCAGCAGGTCTGTGCGGGGGCAGGCGAGGTAGTGGTCCCCAAGCCCATCGATCTCCCCCGGCCGACCGTCCCCACCTCATTGCCTGTCTGTCAAAGGCAGCGGCGCCGCATTGTGCATAAGGTCAGGGGCAAGGGTGGTTGCTGCGTCTGTGGGGATGGCTGCGAGCCACATGCCGGCCACAGCGGGGAAAGTGTGAAGTGCGAGAGCAGCGTGCCGCTGCCACCCAGGCCTCCCAGCCCGAGCTCCCCTTGCCACCATCGCCAGCGCACGCTTCCCAGCCGGGACGGTCAGCCCAACCCGCCTCATCGAGCCGCACCGCCGCGGCAGCGGCAACCTGCAAACACGGCGGACCCCGGGCCTGGGTGAGGTCATGGAGCAAGCGGTCCGTAGCTTCCGATACCGCTGGCGCAGGACCGGGAGCGCGTCGGCCCATGCTGCCCAGTATGCCGCTGGTGAGATGCGCTCGGCCGCGAGAAGGCCCAGCCCCCCCTGACCCGGCGGAGCCGCCGAAACACGTCCCCGGTAGCTATTCCTCGCACGCCGCCGCCGGGCTTGCGCAGAGCCGTGAGGCGGGACAAGGCGATCGCATCCTGTGCGATTGGCGCGCGTCGGCCGCCGCAGCTGCTGCGGCCCTTGACGCCAGATGTCCTCACGTTCAGCGCCGCTGAGGAAGTAACCCTGACCGTCGCGCAGGTTGCCGACGCCCCAAGCGCGCGTCTGTCCGGAGCCACCGTTGAGCTTTACAAGCTTCTCCTGGACGACGCTGCGGCGCTCGAGTCGTTGACGTTCGCCGTCAACATCCTTGCAGGGCCCGTTAGCACACGCAGCGTGCTGTCGTCACCCGGAGCAAGCGCTGCGGCAGTGAGCAGCTGGCTCGCGCCAGCTGGCCCTGCTTGACTTTAGCACAGGCTGCGGCCCGCGCTGGGTAGCCTCCTGGGTTGGCGCGAGAGCGTGCCGCAGATGGGCCCGCTGCGTCTGCGTCTGCGTCTGCGTCTGCGTCTGCGTCCGCGCGTGTAGCGCGACGAGGTTGCCTTGTTGGAGCAGCTGCAACCGGCGCATCAGCACAGCGCGGCCCTCCGTTCCAGCCTGAGGACAACGAGCCAGCAGCAAGCGGGGCAACATGAGGAAGCGTTTCTAGGCGCGTACCCTGAGCTGGGGGCACAGTCGGCGGCTCCGCGCGGAAGCGATCGGAGTGGCGATCGAGCGCCGATGCCACCCGGAGGCCACCGTAACACTCCAGCAGAGCCTCCTGCACAGGGGCAAGCAAGTAGCCATCGGGCTCGCGCAACTGACGCACTGCCCAGCCCACGTGCACCAATGCAGTGGCAGGATGTGGCAGGTAGCCCCGCCTGCCCCAAGCGCTCTAGGATGTCGGGTATGTGATGGCTGTATGCAGGCGTGGCCTCCGCAGCACGACGGATGGCCGCTGCCAGCAAGTGTCGCGAGATAGGATCGGACGCAACCAACAGTCGCCTGGCTTCTTCCCACCAGCCGCGGGTCCGCGGGTCTGCCCACCAAGCCTCGGCCGCAGGCGATAGTAGGTCCCCCGCTGCAGCTTGCAGCAGCGGCACGTATAGCCAGGAGTTGGGCTCTCCCAGACCTCGCCTGCGGGAAGCCCGCGCGACAACCAGTAGCCAACCGCGGGAAGCTGAGCAGCCGCGGGACCGGAGCACGTGGGACCAGGGACGGGGCCTGACGCCAGCGGCACCTCTGCGGGTCTGATGCACGTACTCCCAGCGCAGCTGATTTCCGCAGCCACCGCACAGCTCTCCTGCCTGCGCGGGCACCGGGACATCAGGGAGGCGCACGTCCCGGGCGCAAGCAGGGCACACCCACGCTGGCACCCAACTTGCAATGCCAGCATCGTGCCGGACCGGTAGAGGCGCCCATTGCATTTCGCGATCCGGCAAGCGGACGACGTCTGCCTGGACGCCTCACCGCCGTGACTCGGTTGCAACATAAAACGGCAACACCCGGCGGCGGCCGTGGCTCTGGAGCATCGTGGGAAGTGAACGTGCGGAGGGCGTAATCCTGGACGGCTTCTGGCACTGTTTCCTCCCCATAGAGGCGTGATGGCATCCGCACGCCCTCACGCTCACACGCGTCGCGGAACGCCGCGGCGTGCCGGGGCATCCACCCCTCCGGCTCGCAAGCGGGGCAGCGACCGTGGCGGCATAATGGCCACAACAAGTCGGACGAACGGGACGCTTGCACTCGGAGCTGGGCGAGGCATTCGAGGTGCAGCCGGTGCCGTGGGCACGTTGGAAACGGCCGCGGCGCTTGACGTCCAGACGCGCGGTAGCAGGACATCCAAGCACACACAACACGCCTCGGCCTGAAGAAGTACAGGCGCCCTCGGCGTGAGGCTGCCAGCGGCGGCGGTTGCGAAGCCACCGAAAAAGGCGACGGCGGCTGGCGGCGACGGTGCTCCGGTGAATCCGCTCGCGACGACATACGGGAGCGTGCGTATGTGAGTGCGTGTTGTTGCCTAGCTTCTGTTTGTCTTCCTTACCCCCGCCCGGTTTGGTTGACGCGTGCAAGAACAGCGACAAGCAACACAACACAGCGCGACTAGCGGGCGCAAGTTTTCAGGCGGCTGCCGAGGAGGCGCTTCTGCTATACAAAATGTGGCCTGCGGCTGCCCAGAGGCGCCTGCGGCCGGTCCTGGCAAATGTTGTATGCACCTATTTTTTGTCGGGGATGAAAAGAGGGGGGCATGATCATTACATCCGCAAACGTATCTTATTCTGAAGGGCATCTTTTCTTTAGTCTGAGCATCTTGACTAAAGCTGTGTGTCCTTGAAGCGCCGTGGGCCCGTGGGCCCGTGGGCCTGTGGCGGGTTCGTGGGTTCGTGGCAGGCCCGTGGGCCCGTGGCGGGCCCATGGGCCCGTGAGCCCGTGGGCCCGTGTAACTGGGTTGCACCTATCTCGCATTTTGTGCGTTCGGTTGTTCCTTATAAATGCAGTAAATTTACTCTCTTCGTAACATTAAGAAAGGTGTGAACGAAGTGAGCACACAGGCGTATAATATAAGTCTTTTGCCTCACGCCCGTATAATAACAAAAACACAAATGAGTGCGAATTCAAGAACTTTAGCCCAGGCCGCCATTGCCACGTTCTCCAGCACGCGGTATCACGCGGTCCAACGGTGGCTCTTGCGTCCTCGTCGCTGCCGGCCAACCCGCCCTGCTGCCGACAGCGCCATGGCTCGCTGCACCACGACGACAGGCGCATCCACCACCGGCGAGCCCAGGCCGCCGATGCCGCGTTGCGCAATGCCGGCGGGGGCCCGCAGTCGTCAGGGCGCCTGCACTCCAGCGGCCCCCAACTTCGGCGCCGGAACCACGAGGCGTTGCGGACCGGCCTGTGGCAACTCCGGGTACGTGGCCTGTTTGCGGCGTTCGGCGGCAGTCAGCCAGACCCCGTCCTGCTCAGCTGCGCAGCCTTGTGGCTGTGCGTCGCATCGCAGCACAACGCAGCACGCGTTCGCGGAAATAGGAGTTGCGAGTTCGCGTCGCGTGATGTTGCCAGCCATGGGGCCAGTCCCCACATCTCGCTCAGTCAAAGCGTGGGCCTCCTGCCCCCCCAGCACACGTGTCCACGCAGGGCATTGGAGCCAGCCCTCCGTAAGCAGAGGAGTTCGCGCATCCGACTGCGGCCAACCCCCGGCCCCTCGAGGCAGTCGCTCGCCGACCCGGGCCGCCGGGCGTGGATGACCGGCAAGCCGTCGGCCCAGGCCGCCAGTACGCCGCAGGGCTAGTGCGCGTTGCGCTCGCTCAGCCCCGCCCGCCCAGACTAGCCGCGACTTCCTGGGGTGGCACTGTGCGGAGCGCGTGGTTGCAGCGGGGCGCCGCGCAGAGTGCCAGCAGCAGCCACGCGCACTGCAGATCCGGCAGGGCACCAATAGTACTGGGAAGGGCGCCCGTGAAAAAGCCGGACGAAAGGTAGCAAGCTCCTGCAGAGCTCTCAGGAAGGACTCGCGGGAGATCGTGTCGTAGGCTGCTCGGCCATCCAAGGAGACCACGACCGTGTCCGGTGATCGCTCCAATTCGACGCGAAGTTGGGACGCCAAGGCGTCAGTGCCTGCGCGCGCTTGCAGAGCATATTGGAAGGGTCGAGTGGCGGCATCGAACGTGGGGGACCACTGTCTTGCGAGAGCGCGCGCGACCAACTGCCGGAAACAATCGCCGGTAGCGATGCCGCGGACCCCGGCCGGTTTCTACAACGCGGTCAGGCGTGCTAGGGCGAGGCCCTGCGACACCGCCTCGGGCAGCTCAGCTCTGGCGAGGGATGTCGCTGCGTGCGCCAGCAGTTCGAGACCCTCCTGATCCTGCAGCATCCTGCAGCAGTACTTTATCCGCCGACCCCTAGGGGGGCGGCGTCAGTGAAGACCCATTGCCCCTACCACCTACTCCACCCCATCCAAAGCTCGACCGGCCCCCAGTGCATGCCCGCCCGCTTGCCCTACCCCCACCACCCACGCACCCCGCCCCCCGCTCCTTCCCTTGCCCAAGCCCCCCACGCACCCCGCCATGCTTCTCATGGACCCATGGCTCCTCCCAGTGCATGCCCGCCCGCTTGCCCTACCCCCACCACCCACGCACCCCGCCCCCCGCCCATCCGCCCTTCCCGCTCCGCACACTCCTTCCCTTGCCCAAGCCCCCCACGCACCCCGCCATGCTTCTCATGGACCCATGGCTCCTGGTCCCATTCTTCATCCCAAGCTCGACCGGCTTGCAGTGCATGCCGCCCGCTTGCCCTACCTCCACCACCCACGCACCCCGCCCCCCGTCCATCCGCCCTTCCCGCTCCACATACTCCCCCCCTTGCCCAAGCCCCCCACGCACCCCGCCATGCTTCTCATGGACCCATGGCTTCTCCGCCCCTACCCCCACCACCTCTACCCTTCCCGCTCCGCATACTCCCTCCCTTGCCCAGCTCGACCTGCATGGCTGCCAATGCTGGTCCGAAAAATGGCCCCTCACCCCCAACCCCCCCCACCCCGCACGCACCCTGCCCCGCCGCCCACGCTTGTCATGGACCCATGGCTCCCTGGCCCCATGGCTCCACCCCCACCCCCAACCCCCACCCCCACCCCCACCGCCCCGCCCCACCCCCCCACGCCACCCCGCCCCCGGGTCATGGTTCCAAGCCATGGATGTGGCTTCAGATGACTTTAAAGCGGCCCAGTGCATGCCGGCGCACCGTCTCAACGACCCGCTCCAGACCGCCCGCTCCGCCCGCTCCGCCCGCTCCGCCCGCTCCGCCGCTCCGCCCGCTCCGCCCTCCGCCCTTCCAGCTCCGCCTACTCCCCTTTGGCCCATGCTCCCACTCTCCATCACCTACCTCTCCTGGACCCAGCTGCCTACCCCTTACCCCTCACGCTCCTGGCCCCATTGGCTCATGGTCCACGGCCCATGGATGTGGCTTCTCAGCTGACTTTAAAGGCCCCAGTGCATGCCCGGGCCCTCCGCCCGCTCCGCCCGCTCCGCCCTCCGCCCTTCCAGCTCCGCCTACCCCAGCTCCCTACCCCTTACCCCTCCCTCCCCCGCCGCCCATGCCCCTCGTGGACCTATAGCTCCTGGCCCCATGGCTCCCCTCCGCCCCTACCCCCACCACCCCACCCGCTCCCCGCCCATCCGCCCTTCCCGCTCCGCATACATTCCCCTTGCCCAAGCCCCCCACGCACCCCGCCATGCTTTTCATGGACCCTTGGTTCTGGTCCCATTCTTCATCCCTTGAGCTGCTCCACCCCCACCCGCAACCCCCACCCCCACCCCGCACGCACCCTGCCCCGCCGCCCGTGCTTGTCATGGGCCCCTTGCTCCTGGCGTCATGGCTCCACCCCCACCCCCAACCCCCACCCCCGGGCATGCACTGGGGCCCTTGAGAAGCCACATCCATGGGCCGTGGACCGTGAGGGCGGTGGGGGTGGGGGTGGGGGTTGGGGGTGGGTGTGGAGCCATGGGTTAGGAGCCATGTGCCCATGACAAGCGTGGGCGGCGGCAGGGTGCGAGTTGGCGGAGCTGGAAGGGCGGAGGGCGGAGCGGGCGGAGCGGGCCGAGGGCATGAGCATGCACTGGGGCCTTTAAAGTCAGCTGAGAAGCCACATCCGCCCCTACCGCCACCACCCACGCACCCGCTCCCCGCCCATCCGCCCTTCCCGCTCCGCACACTCCTTCCCTTGCCCAAGCCCCCCACGCACCCCGCCATGCTTTTCATGGACCCATGGCTCCTGGTCCCATTCTTCATCCCTTGAGCTGCTCCACCCCCACCCGCAACCCCCACCCCCACCCCGCACGCACCCTGCCCCGCCGCCCGTGCTTGTCATGGGCCCCTTGCTCCTGGCGTCATGGCTCCACCCCCACCCCCAACCCCCACCCCCACACACCCCACCCTTTCCACACTTCCAACCCCCACCCCCACCCCCCACGCACCCCGCCCCCCCACTGGACCCATGGCTCCTGGCCCCATTGGCTCTGGTCCCAGTCTTCAGCCCTCGACCTGCATGGCTGCCAATGCTGGTCCACATGGCCCTGCTCCACCCCAACCCCCAACCCCCACCCCCACACCGTCCCTGCCACCCCCAACCCCCAACCCCCACCCCCACCCACACCCACCCACACTTCCAACCCCCACCCCGCCCCCCACTGAACCCATGGCTCCTGGCCCCATTGACCCATGCATGTGGCTTCTCAGCTGACTTTAAAGGGCCCAGCTCCGCCCGCTCCGCCCTCCGCCCTTCCAGCTCCGCCTACTCCCCTCTGGCCCATGCTCCCACTCTCCATCCCCGTGACCTACCCCTCATGGACCCAGCTCCCTTCCCCTTACCCCTCACGCAGCCATGGTTTTCATGGACCCATGGCTCCTGGCCGCATGGCTCCCCATTCATTATGGTCCCTACCCCCACCACCTCTACCCTTCCCGCTCCGCATACTCCCTCCCTTGCCCAAGCCCCCCACGCACCCCGCCATGCTTCTTATGGATTCATGGCTCCTCGTCTTCATCCCTCCGCCTGATGGCTGCCAATGCTGTTCCGATGGCCCCTCACCCCCAACCCCCCCCACCCCGCACACACCCTGCCCAGCCGCCCACGCTTGTCATGGACCCATGGCTTCTGGCCCCATGGCTCCACCCCCACCCCCAACCCCCACCCACCGCCCCCACCCCCACACCCCCCACGCACCCCGCCCCCCATCCTGGCCCCATTGGCTCATGGTCCACGGCCCATGGATGTGGATTCTAGGGCCGCAGTGCATGCCCACCGCCCCGCTCCGCCCGCTCCGCCCCCCGCCCTTCCAGCTCCGCCTACTCCCCTTGACCCATGCTCCCACTCTCCATCCCCTTGACCTACCCCTCATGGACCCAGCTCCCTACCCCTTACCCCTCACGCTCCTGGCCCCATTGGCTCATGGTTCTAAAGGGTTCATGGATGTGCCTTCTCATCTCACTTTAAATTTTCAGTCCATGTCCGGGCCCTCCGCCCGC